GGTGGCATGTGGCTCTGACAGGATTCCAGAGTCCTCCTTCGCTTTCCCAGCTTTGAGAAGGAGGGGGAAAGGCTCTACAACCCTGCCAGAGCCTTCACGCCTCCTTCCCAAAGCCAGGTGCCTCCTCCCCCATCTTTGGGAAGTCAACTTGAGGGTTGGGGGGACCCAAATTTTGGCCTCACACAGGGCGCCACAGCACCCAAGTCCACCCCTGTTTTAATGAAATCTGGCAAACAGCTGGTGCTTGCAGGGTGATGCTGGAAGAGTGCAAAGCCATCTTCTCACACAGGGAAAAAAAGAGTGTGATCTGAACAGCCAGGTGAATTTATTGCCTCATCTGAAGCAAAGCTGGCCATATATCACCTTTCAGTAGCATATCACTGCCACCAGGTGTACAGATTAACATTCCAAGAGTTCCCATTTCACTGTGATGCTCTTAAAGCAAATAAAGTGTTTAAGGTTCAAATGCAACCCATTCTAAACAGACAGCCAACAAGGGGAACACCTCTGGCAAACTGAAAGGAAGAATTTTAAAAACATGTATTTAACATTGCACTGCTACAATTTCATTGCTTATTTTGCTATCTAAATGCCCATGCATAATGTCTTACCTGAAGCTCAATCCAAATGAGACTGAGGCACTGTTAGTGGGAGGTGGCCCACTCTTGATGGGGTGGCACCCTCTGAAGGAGCAGGTATGCAGCTTGGGGGTGATTTTGGATTAATCTTTCTCTTTTTTTAAAAAAAGTGCTTTTATTGAGTTTTGTGACAACACATAAACACTCAAAACGTAAACAAAAACAAAAGAAAAACAAACTAAAAAGAAAACACACAAAAAAAGAAATTACAAACATATAACCATAAATCCGAAAGTTCTTACAAACGAACTTATGTTGTCTTCTTTTCTACTCCCAATTCTTATTCTGTTCTTATAGACTTCCTTCCTTCTCAATGCAGTTCTGATTTTCCTTTCTTGGTAAACTGCTTCCTTCTCTTTTCATCATTGCTGTCTTTTTCCATATAATATGCCTGTAACCCTTATTTTGTTTTGCAAAAATTACTCAAAGCAAGTCCAGGTTTTTATTTGAGGACACTGTTTTTTTAAGATACGCTTTATACATTCCCCTCTCTTTTTGGGATTTTAACTTGGACTGTCCCCTAACTGTGTCATTTTCACCAGTTCGAGACAATTGAATAATTTATCCTGCCACTCTTTTTTAGTTGGTATTATATCACTTTTCCAAATTTTGGCAATTAATATTTTTTGCTACCGTGGTTGCATATAAGAATATTTTCTTATTTTCATTTATGATATCTGATTCTAGTATGCCCAATAAAAAGGCTTCTGGTCTCTTTACAAAATTTTGTTTAAATATTGGATTCATCTGTCTCTTGAGGCTCAGGGGGTCTTGGTGGTGCAGAGTGGCACCTGGTCTGGGCAGAAACAACCTTTTGTTGTCTACACTCCCCACTGAATTTGGCAAAATGTCCCTCCCTCATTTGGCTGCCTGCAAACAGGATGCAGAATTTCACAGCAACATGTTCACTCGGCACTACCTGCTTGTTTTCACTAAATTGGAATTTGGGTTTTAGTTGCCTAGAAACACATTTTCATGCCCTCACTACAGACATATTGACAGAGAGAGAGAGAGAGAGAGAGAGAGAAAGCGCAATGCCTGGCCTCTGTTACAAGCGGCAACCAGGAGAAATTTCTTGAGATGTTATGGCATGGAGAAAGTAGATAAAGAAAAGTTTTTCTTTCTCTCCCATAATGCTAGAATTCATGGACATCCAGTGAAGCTGAATGTTGGAAGACTTGGGACAAATAAAAGAAAGCCCTTCTTCATGCAGCGCATAGTTAAACTACGGCCCACCCTCCCCCAGGAGGCAGCAATGGCCACCAACCTGGATGGCTTTAAATACGGCTGGACAGATTCATGGAGGAAAGGGCTATCAATGGCCATTCACCATAATGGCTCTGCTCTGCCTCCAGAGCCAGGGCAGCCCTGCTTCTGAATGCCAGGTCCTGGAAACCACAGGAGGGGAGGGGGCTCTTGTGCTTGGGTCCTGCTTACGGACTTCCAGGCATCTATCTGGTTGGCCACTGTGAGAACAGGGTGCTGGTCTAGATGGGTCACTGGAATGATCCAGAAGGCTTTTCTTGCCTTCTCGTGGATAAAGCAGCTAAACACAGTTTCTTCCTCCTCTACTGGCACCAAGAGATGGGAAACTTCACTGTAGCAATGTGAGAGGTTGATGGTTTCTTTGTACAAATGCTTCCTCTGACCATTTCCTCCCCTCCCCTTTCCACATATAAAAATAGCTTTGAGAAACTATTACACCCGCTGCTGCCCCATTAATATTTTGACAAAATTGCGGGCAAGGTCAGTGTTTTTGATTATTGGGGGGGGACGTAATTCCTTTCAACTCACACTGTTTGTTTAAGGCTAGGCTACCCACCCACCTCTTTACCCTCTCATAAATCTAATTGACAATTACATTTTCCCCCTCAGCAAAAGAAAGTGTATAAAGGGTTTGATTCAGACCAGAGCCCACACCAACCTCCATCAGTGGAAAAAAAGACTTGGAGTTCCCATAATTAACCAAAAGTCAATGTACGAGCATCAATGGTTTCTTGCTAAGCAAAGGCCAACAGGAGGTCAAGCTTTTCTTGATGATACCCATTCCAATTCAGGATCTTCCCAAAAATTGCATTTCCAGAGTCAGAGATACAATTTGTGGTGGGCTCAGCTCAAGTCAATATGATGTGAGACAAGCATTACAACTGCAGAAGTTCTTCATTAGCTCAGATTTTAATCTAACCCAGAAAGGAATTTGTGGGGAGGCCTCCCACAATGCCAACCTGCCTCAAAATCCCCTTTTAGCAACACACTCCTCTTTCTTGATGCTCTGTCAGTGGTGAAAATGTGGGAGGTTTCTCTTCCTCCATCCCTTGCTATGACCCATGAAGCTTACTGGGTGACTTTGGGTCAGTTCTCAGTTTAAGCTACCTCACAGAGCTGTTACGACAATTGCATGGGAGGGGGGAACCACATCAACCTTGAGTCCCCTGAAACACTCAGACTGAAAATTTCCCTGATCAAGCCGAGGAGAAACAGGCAAAATGTTCCTCTCAGAATAAGCACTTATAAATGAATTTTGATACCTTCTTTGAACGAAGAATGGTTATGGGGGCTCATCAACATCCAGAGAGGACCCTGTCAGCTACCCCTGGTATAGATGAACAGATGAAATTACAAAGCCAGGGAAAATAACAACAGCCACACAACTTCAACTGGCACTGAAATTACATCAAAGCAAGCACAAAGAAAGCTTCCCTGGGCAGAATATTCCACAGAATGTGAGGTACCACCAAGAAGTCCCGTGTTCACAGGAGCCACCCACTGTACTTTTGAAGATGGAAACCACCTGAAAACCACCGTCTTAATCTACAGACAGACATGTGTGGACTGTGGAGATCATCTTTATCTACAAATAGAGACAGTGGAGGTTTGTGGGGTTGTCAATGGGACGAATAAGGCAGAAGGCAGAGAGCCCAACAGTAGGTGGAGCCAGAGCAAACAACTCTAATCCACTATAAAGCAGAGCCAACTAATCCTGTCTTCCCCTGCTCAGTTCTACAAAGGTAGCACAGAAGGCTGCATTATACAGACCATGGGCCCATCTAGCTCAGTCTTGTCTATATGGCTTGGCAGCAACTCTCCAGTTGCTGGAGAGGTCTCTCTCCCGACCCCACCTGGAGGTGCTGGAGTTTGAACCTGGGACCTTCTGCCTGCAAGACTGATGCTCTAACCCTGAGCCATGGCCCTTCCAACACTGAGGCTGAGGAAGAGCAGGCTGACAGCCAGGATCACCTCTTGGACTGGTTGTAAGGAAGGAGGCAGGCAGATGGTTGGAGACACACTGAGCTTGGTGGGGCCATGCCCCCTCAGCCCCAGTGGACCAGCCCCTTCTTCGTGCCAAGTAGTGAAGGGCTTTGGAAATCAGAAGCAGCACTCACAGAGCTCCTGGCCTGAGACTCCCTCAGAGCCCATCACTCGATTGCATTTGTTAGTCTGTTTCCTGGTGAACTGCCTAGCAGCAGCTTGAAGACATTTCCACTTGTCTCCAAGTGGTACAAATGTTTTATTTTGCATCTTTGAAGGATTTCCACAGCTCTCCAAGGTTGTTTGGTTTGGAGTCTGTCCCATTTCATCTTGAACTACGTTCTCCAGAATGAGTTAATCTCAGTCACAAATCTTTATCCCAACCTTACTGTTTCATAGATGTCTGACATTAGTCGGCAAGGGGGTGGGTATCCCAAAAGCTTTCCATCAGTACAAAGCATTATTGTATTGGAATCACTTCAGATCTTTAAGCATTCCCCATTGCCAGCTCATTCTGCAGGCTTTGCCATTCGTCCTTCTATCCAGCTACAGACGATGCCCCTTCCCTTGCATTCCACATTTGACCTCTGGAGCCCATGCAAAAATTTAGAAAACAGATTAGGCTTATCACACTCAGCCACTTCATTTAAAATTTTATCTTCCATTCCCCCATAGATCTGCATATTGATGTATATTTAAAGCAGGGAATTATCAGCAAATGTCAGGAAGATGTGTCCATTTTGCGTGGACACACCTTTTCCTAGACTGTCAGACTCATTGTGTTGTAACCTGCTGAAGAACAGGTAATAAGTTTATCAGTAAAGTAAATCATCATCAACGACAACAACAACAACAACAACTAGTACAGTGGTACCTTGGGTTAAGAACTTAATTCATTCCGGAGGTCGGTTCTTAACCTGAAACTGTTCTTAACCTGAAGAACCACTTTAGCTAATGGAGCCTCCTATTAGCTGCCGCACCGCCGAGGTACTGTTTCTGGGTTAGCGGAGTCTGTAACCTGAAGCGTCTGTAACCTGAGGTACCACTGTAATAGTACCAGTTATCATTATGATAAAGGTATTATTGCAACCTCCCCCCCCCTCGCCATCCTACCTTCTTTCGGCTTTGGGGCTGCGCCTCTGGGACTGTGAGGGCCGGCGGCCTCTCAAGGCTCCCCTGCTCAAGTGGCTGACATTGCGCCCTTCGGAGGAGGCTCTGGCCTGGAGTCCTGCTCGCAGCCCACCTTCGTTCCGGTGAAGAGGCACCGACGTACGGATGGCAGAGATGATGTGCCCAGAGAAGGGACTGAGCACGTCTTCGTGTCGGTGCGGAGGCTGCTGGGCAAGAGTCCTTTCAGAGGTCGGGAACTGGCCAGGCCTGCGGTGGCTCCTCTCGTAATAGTACCCTGGGAGGCAGGGCCTCGTCTGCTCCATCACGCCGCCACTGCAGCTTCGGGAGCAGGCCGACCAGGGCCCCCAGCTGCCCCATGCCCCCGGGGCTCCTGCGCTGTCGTCTTCCGTGGCAGCACTTTGCTCTCCTATCCTCTGTGGAACCTAAGGACACCAGAGCAAACCAATTAGCAAGAAAGAAACCCCCAGGGTGGCCGGTGCAGCTTTGGAGACCAGCCGCTTCACTCCACCACCTCTGAAAGCCGTGCTGCATGTCCTTGCGTTTGAGCAGAAACTGCCCTTTGCGCTTGGGGATCCGAGGACACCGTGGCTGAAGGCAACATCTGCAGCACTTTCAAGGCAGCGCTATACCTCTTCCCCCAAAGAGTCCTGGGAGCTGTTGTTTTTGTTAAGGGTGCTGAAAGTTGCTAGTAGGCCCCTAATTCCCCTCGCTAGAGCTACAGTTTCAGAGTGGTTTAACCATCAGTCCCTCTTCCCAGGGAACTCTGGGAATTGTAGTTCTGTGAGGGGACTTACATTCTCAACAACAAACAACATTTCCCAAGGTGCTTGCAGGGGGGAGCCATGAGTGCTACATTTTTATAAGAGTGTTTGACATGTATGGTGTGGTCTCTGTATTCAAGTGACTTCTACGTCTGCCCAGCGCCGTGTCTGAACCTGTCAGCCAGGCTCTGCCCACGGTGTCAATCTCCACACCTGCTGACTGGGCCTGAGGAGAATAGGGTGGAGTTCTTTTCCTCCTTCACCCCTGAAATTATTTTTACAAAATAACACACATATCTATGTGTATATCTAGTTCTCCCCAAAGTAAGTGTACATTGTACATTGTGTGAGAGTCCCTGTGTGTTTGTGGGATTACAACGGCCCCAGACCCTCTTTTCCCTGAAATTTACTTACATTTCTTTTCTTGAAATAACCAGCTATATTATGTCCATTACACATGTAATCTCCATTCCCTTGGTTCTATCTCCCCCGCCCCCACATAAAAGATTCCTATATGTGGGCTTCATTTTACAGTGGAAAGGAGAGTCTTCTGAGGAAGATAGGACTTGGATTGTATCCTGCAGGGCTGTTAGTATGTCCCAAAAAGAAAAGGGAAAGTACTTGCAGTAGTACTGAATCCATTGTGTCCTGGAAACCCCAGATCCTACCTGCAACCCACCCCTCCCTCGACCAGGTTGAGAAGGCTGGAGCAATCAATTGTTGGGGTTTAACTGCAGAAAGACGTAGCAGAACTTTCCACCTGTGACCCTCAGCAACAGGTACACAGAGGCATTCTTTAAGCAAGCAATCCATCCCCTCAATTCTACACCACCTCTTCTTCATTGGTAATGTAGGCAGAATTATTTTTATGAAATATACACCAAAGTATTATAAAATATTCCCAAGGCGAAGCACTCAGGAATGAATGAGCTTCAAAATTATGGAAAAGAAGCATTGGCAAAGCAGAATGGGCTCAATAATTTGCAGAAAAATTAAGAAAGCAAGGTGGCATCTCAAACTACGTCCCTAATTGGGAATTTGTCCAAAGTGTCTGGCAGTGCCCTATACACAACATCACCTCCATGTATCTCCATTCCTATGGATGCATAGGAAGGAGTAAGTCACAATGGTCTCAGTGAGCCTAACTTCAGAGTAAATGAACATAGGATTCACCTAAAAGAACAGCATCAAGTATCCGAGAGAATGCTCGTACAATATTTAGTCCTGTTCTACTCTTCCATGTACAAATATGGGGCTTATTTTATGCCTATGTGGCTCAAGGCACATACAGAGATTAACCTTTTACTCACGCACGATCATTGCAGGTAACTTTCTTTACCTCATAAGGGCAAAGGAAGTGCAGCGCCTTCTGCTCCTCACAACCCAACACTGTTAAGATTTAGAGCTAAATGCAGTGCCTGGAATCGGAGGTTATAACCCAACTCCAAAGCAACCCAGCCAGTCAGAATGCATCGCTGAACAGCCAACGGCAAGGAAATCAGAGCCTTTGGTGGAATACAGCTTGCAAAGCATGGCTTTTGAGAGACGTTGATGGCAACACATAAACTCTATCCAAGCTAGGCTTTGGGGTGGGCTACATACAGCCCACTCTTCAAGGTGCCCCTCATTGTTTCATCTCTAGCCCCCTGTGGTACTGTCCGGGGAGGTCTATGGGGCAGAAGTCCAGGGCCCCACTGAGCAGAATGAACAGAGAGGCTCCCCAGATGTAAGGGGGAGGGTGCTTACTAGGAACATAAAAGATGCCATAAGACACACTTTTTTCCTCCTAAAAGGTAAGGGGAATGTCTGTGCGTCTTATGGAGAGAATACCTATGGATGGTGGGGGGATCCTGCTGCAGTCGCAAGCAGAGGATCCATGGTCCCCTTCCTTCCCTCCTCCGTGGCTCGCTTTGAAGCAGCAAAGCGGGAGAGGAGCGGCTTACACGGGTGTAAGCGGCTCCTGTCCAGTTGGCTCCTTTAAAACAACCGTGCTCTTTCCCTTCCTCCTCCCTGCTCAGCTCACTGAAAAGCTCCTTCTCTACACACCCCACACGTGCTCCTTGTCCCTTCAGTGTTTTTCCTTCCCTCCCCACTTAAAACGTGGTTACAAAGCATGGATCCACATGGATCCTCAGGATTTTTGCACTGGGCTACTCCAAACTCACTGTCAAATCACATGTCTGTGGCCACAGCATGAACCACAAAAATTATACATCCACTGTTTCGTTCAGAATATTTTTTTTCTTGTTTTCCTCCTCTAAAAATTAGGTGCATCTTATGATGCAAAAAAAACGTATTTTATACCTAAGCCAGCTCACTGGTCCATGCCCTCCAACATTTCTCCTATGAAAAGAGGGACGCCCTAAGGGAAAGCAGGACATTCTGGGATCAAATCAGAAACTGGGATGGCTTCTGTAAATCCAGGATTGTCCCTGGAAAATAGGGAGACTTCGAGGGTCTGGTCAACTTAACTTAGTATTGTCTATGCTGACTGGCAGCAGTTCTCCAGTGGCCCTCGAGGTCCCTTCCAACTCTACAATTCTATGACACTATGATTCTCATCCCTACCTGAAGATGCCACTGCATGCAATGCAGATGCTTAGATATTCCCCTTCCCCTGTACAACATTTTGAAATAAATGGAGTTATACACCTTGCCATCTAAACAGCATGAATGGTGGAGAAATTTGGTTTGCTTCATATTTGGTTTTGCTTCACATTTTAACTTGTGCCTCCCTAATACACACTTATTGAAGCAATACAGAAACCAAGTCTAGTGTCCAGATCAAGGGAAGGAACAGTCCCACTATTCTGGCTTGTTCAAACCACAACCTGAATTACTGTGTCCAGTTCTGGGCACCACAATTCAGGAAGCATGTTGACAAGCTGGAACATGTACAGAGGAAGGCAACCAAGAGTCTGGAAACCAAGCCTTATGCGGAACGGTTGAGTGAGTTTAGTATGTTTAGGGATAGGTTTAGCCTGGATAACAGGAGAGTGAGAGGAGATACGATAGCCATCTTCAGATATCTAAAAGACTGTCACATGGAAGATGGAGTAATGTTGTTTTCTCTTGCTCCAGAGGCCAGGACTCGAACCTATGAAATGGAATCAAGTTACAAGAAATGAGATTCCAACTAAACATTGGGAAAGACTTTCTGACAGTAAGAGCTGTTCAACAGTGGAACAGATTCCCTCAGAAGGTGGTAGACTCTCCTTCCTTGGAGGTTTTTAAGAGGTTGGATGGTCATTGTCATGGATGCTTTAGTTGAGATTCCTGCATTGCAGGGGGTTGGACTAGATGGCCCTCAGGGTTCTCTCCAACTCTACAATTCTATGATTCTACGAAAACACAGTGTGCATGCACACGAAAGCTCATACCAAGAACTAACTTAGTTGGTCTTTAAGGTGCTACTGGAAGGAATTTTTTTTTGTTTTGACTATGGCAGACCAACACGGCTACCTATCTGTAACAACAGCTACCCCTTGAAATCTACAGTGTTCCAGAGTTCGCAATGCAGTTCTCCAACAACGCCTTTTTCTTTAAAGAACGGTCTGCAAAACAGTGCAAGTACATTTGCAAAAGTACTTGTAAAAATTGTGCCTGTTAGGAGAAACACTGCCCCCCAAATGCTGACAATTTCCCATGAGGACTTGGGGAGGCAGGAATCACAAACCTACTGCAGCAAACTGAACTGGAGCCTGGAAAAGTGAGAAACTGAGAAAAACCAAAACGGACAGATTCATCCATCGCTACTTCAAGGAGAGGGGGTCCCACAAGACAGCTTGAAGGAAGGGAAGGAAGGCAGCTTTTCAGATAGTTTTACCTGCTCTGCAAATTGCCATGCTGGCTTTTTCAGTTTCTTGGTTCTCACCCCACCAGAGTTCAAGGCAGCTGCTCCTTGCTTTGTTCAGGAAAACAAGCAGCACTCCCTTCTGTGTCTGCCCCATCAGGCCAGAGAAGCTTGTTGAAACAAAATGCCTCCAATTGTTTTCCAGAAAGTGCAAATCATGGTCACCTACAGTCACAAACATGTGCTTCCCCCTGCTCAGCAGGCTGAGAAGTCCATTTTTATCAGAGCCAGCTTTAATTTCAGTCTGTGGGTCTGCTCTGCCCACATTTTATACCCTCAACAGCACCTTTTGCAAAACCAGAAGACATTCATCAGATTGCCAGCACCTAAAACCCACCACTTAAAATTATTCAGTTATCCAGGCCGGGGGGGGGGGGGACCTGATAAGTGACAAGTGCTGGCCTGCAGCAGAGGCAAAGGAGGCGGGGGCAGGCCCCCTGCAGCTGCTACAGCCTGAAGTCCTCAGGAGCAGGTTTGAGATAAAAAGGATATGCTGGAAGAGCTCCAGGCAAGTCAGAAAAGGTACAGTTTCACACATGTTAATCCCGGAGCTCAAGATTTGCTGGCAAATGACAGCAAGCAGAATCCTGGGTACTGAAAACTAAAGCAGAACATGAGTCGGGCAGGAGAGGGGGGGAAGTTCTGTAATGCAGAAAGGCTCAATGCAAGAATATAGATTCATCCAGGGATGGAGAACCTGTGGCTCTCCAGATCTCTCTCTCTCTCTCTCTCTCTCTCACACACACACACACACACTGCAAACCATACTCTTAATAATGGCACATGCCCACTTTTTCTCTTGCGAGGC